TTCTCTCTCTTCACAAGGTAGGTGTAAGGCTTGCTACACACTGCCCTCCTCAGACCCCACTTGTAAGATTACATTGGCTATGTTGTTGTAGTTCATTATATAGAAAACTTCTCTATAAGTTTTACTCACTGTTCTGGTTTTGATTTTAATCCAATATCAGTGGAACTGGAGTCCTACTATGGTGAAGATATTGTATCATCTTGTTAGATTTGACATGTAATGTATGACCTGAGTGATTTAAACAAAGTGTAATCCAGGGTTCATTAAATGCTTTAAGATTTTGGTTAATTTTGTGCCAACATATTCTGCTCCAGCTATTAGACCTTAAGGATACCTTGTAAACCTTGAAAATTATTAGGATCTCTTAAAAGAATCTTCATGAAAAGAAATTGCTAAAAAGGAAAAAAAAAAGGAACTGCTAAAAATGCACCGTTCTGGTATACAAGTCACTTGAACTTTCTGAGGACAGAATATTTTTAGTAAAAATTAGTTATGACATTACTACTATTACATGTGATGCAAATTTAGACTCTTCTAGAAGTATTGTTGCATCTTGCTGTGCTAATAATTTTGATATTCCATCTGTAGTACCACTGTATTTGGAGTGTCAACGGAGTCCATGCAATTGTCTTTTGACTCCCGTGGTAATAGTGTTCCAACTATTCTACTTCTAATGCAAAGGCGTTTGTATGCTCAAGGAGGTCTACAGGTACATACTGTGTGTTGTCTCGGCTTTCGAATATTTAAAATCTGGCATTTACAATCAAGGATAGGTGCTGCCACTTGTAAGTTCATTATTATATCCGAGTTGGTTTTTATGTGAGCAGGCAGAAGGGATTTTCAGAATAAATGCTGAAAACAGCGAGGAGGAGCTGGTTAGGGAGCAATTAAACCGTGGAATAATTCCTGATGGCATTGATGTACATTGTCTGGCAGGTCTCATTAAGGTATGTCTCTTCAACAACACTCTTTGTATTAATCTTCTCCAATATATTTCATCCTTTGTATGCACATTGAATAATGTTGATATAGGCATTCATCTCACTTTATAAGATCTCATTCATGCTTTTGTAAATCTGCTATGTGCTACAAATTACAAACCCATGATTAAAAGAAATGCTTCGATTTGAGAGCATATAATATGGGACCTTGCTCAAATTACGCTGTGGATCATGGTTGAGACTAGTATAAATGTATACTACTTGTTGCATATAATGCACATCCGCTCCTGGCAAAGTAGTGATGATCCTGATGTGGCTTTTATTTGTTAAATATGCACCCACTCCAAAACAGCATGAAGACAATTTATAGACATGTAATTCTGTGGAGAGTAGGAAAGAACTGGGGGGCAGGGGGTGTCTCACATCAGTGCATAAAAGCATGACACTTCCAATCCTCTTAGGTATGAGCGGTTATTAACCCACTTATTATTAGCTCAGCTCATCACATAGTCCTGCGGGCGGACTTTAATAGTGAGCCTTTGTGGTGTACCCCATAGTAGACTACGAGATCGGTTTATTAAAGTTCTCAAGGCTGGGAACTCATGCTTCTCATTGTTTTAGATTTTGTAATAGAATGGTGGTGAGCTATTTGTACCGAGATATAGTCAATGTGAAGTTGGTTATAAATACTATCCTGATCTTTTCCAGACCATTTGTCAATACACAGGTAAGTCAAGGCATGCGACTTTTGATCATATCCTAGAATTGATGAATATATAGAGATTTAGATTTCTGTTCTGAAACCTTGTGTTGATTATGATTGACACAACTTTGCTTTTCCACAAAATTGCCTACGCTCGCCAGAGGTTCACCGAGAAAATGATAAACCTTCAACCTCTGGGAAGCTGGTGGAAGACAACAAATAATCAGGGATCATAAATGTCATTACTTTTCTCCTCTTATAAAAAAAAATCTTAGATTTTTATTTGCTTTTCATATTTTACTAATTGTCTGCTTGATCATGTGATGGATTAGTGAAGGCAAACATTTAGACACTTGTAATTCTTAATATGCACCTAATTAGTAAAAGGTGGACATGATTTCACCTTATGATTGTGTTGCAAGTTTTTCTCACTAAAGTGACTGTGGCATCACAGGCTTGCCATTAGAACTTCCTTTTACCTCCTTGACATTTATGGTTATTTTGTGAAGAAATGTCCTGTTGTAAATGCAGCAGTTACATTTCATGGTTTCTATGGTGTTAGAGTGCTGCTTCATCATTGCCACAATTCGGATGTTTATTCTGTTAGATCTTTTTCTTTTCTTATTTGTTTGTCCTTCATCTGACATCATGTAACTTAACAGGCTTGGTTCAGGGAACTCCCAAGTGGGGTGTTGGATACCCTTTCTCCTGAGCAGGTCATGCAATGCCAGTCAGAAGAGGACTGTACTGCACTCGTGAGACTTCTGCCACAGACAGAAGCTGCTCTGCTGGATTGGGCTATCAATCTCATGGCTGATGTTGTCCTGGAGGAACACCGAAACAAGATGAATTCGCGCAATGTCGCAATGGTGTTTGCTCCTAATATGACACAGGTGGGGTACTGGTCTCTCAGATACATCGTTCGCATTTTCTCTTGGTAGTCGACATAAATTTCTTTATTAAACCATCAACTCCCCATCCCAAAAAGAGAAAAATAAAGGAAGGAACAAAATAGCAAAATTATAACTAACAAAGGGAGGAGGGGGTTCTCTCCTCAAAACTCACGTAAAACATCCATGGGGCAATTTGCTTTCCATAAGCTGAGACTTTATTGCAAAAGAACAAATAGAGAATGAGTTGAAATTTGCCTTCTATAAACTGTTTTATTCGTGTTTATCTGCCAACCTATTCCCTGCTTAATGGCTGGATCAGTATAATGGAGTAACTTTTAGCTTCTTCCTTGCAGATGGCAGATCCATTGACTGCACTGATGTATGCTGTTCAAGTAATGAATTTCTTGAGGACACTCATCGAAAAGACTTTAAAAGATAGAGAAGATTCCCTTGTTGAACCAGATTCTGCCTCTAACCTAGACCGGCCTGATGAGTATGGTCATCAAAGTCCACCACAATTCTCTCTGGAGAACTCCGATGAATCAAACGAACTGACTGAGCAGGTGTTCACTGTTGAAGAACCTGATTCAGCCAGCGCTTCTGAATCTAATAGAGTAGATAACATCACTGATGATGAATATCTTAGTTATGCAACTTCTTCAGAGGAATCCGATGACAGTGTGTCTTGTGAAACTCCTATTCATGTTAATACCAAGGCAAGAAAAGCCTGTGTGACAAAAACTCCAAATCTTGAAGAGGTCACACAAAGGATAGGCCAATCGAGTGATTCTAATCAGACAAAGGATGTTGTGAAACTTGATCTAGAGTCAACCGTGGTTCAGTCTGTGGGAAATGACAGTAAATCAAAAGGAATAAGCAACTTGATCCGTATAAATTCAATGACAGAGAGGACTGAAGCTTGGCGGTGAATAGAGAACTGAACTGAGCAGGCTTTCTGTGCTGACTAAGATGGTAACAGTTTCTGTTTGGTTGTGATAAAAAATGTGAATGCTATAATAGTTCATGTATGTTGATCTAGTTTACTTTGGTTGATTTTGTTTAACTGGTTACAGTTTGGATGTGTACATTATACTTTCTGCTTTTCTAAAAACTAGAACGCGAATATCATTTGATCTTCACTTGCACAATGTGGATGGATGTCTATTTCCTTCATTGTATACCTCATTGTCTAATCTTCGCGGAGGATCACTCCTTTTACTTTTTTCTTGTGATGAGTTGTCTTTGGTATGCATGTTAGAAATGTTGATGCTTCCAGGACCACAACCAAGATAACATTTCTGAAAGTTCAGATGCTATAACCTCCTCATATTATCAAAATCTGATCGACGAAAAACACCCTTAGTTGGTTGGAAGTTGGGACCAGTACTTTTGTGCAACTATGTAGTTGCCTCACATTGGATCCACTGGGAATATACTCAGCTAGTTCAAGTACTAGTTTAGGATGTATCTAGAAATCAAACACAGGATGTGCTAGTATAGTATAATCTTTCAACATCAAAGTTACTCATGGATCACTACTTCAAGTTGCTGAGCTTTTTTCAGTGCTGTCTTGCATATATATGTAAGTGGCTAAGGATCCATAGTAGAGACCACTTTGATTTTTCTCAGTTGATGTATCTTGTAAACAAATAAATTAGTGTGTTTACTTTTAGGTCCAATATGATTTTTAGGATAGTAGAAAATATAGACAACTTTGACATTTACTCAAATATTATATAGTTGATTTCAAATTTACTTGAGATTAAGGAAGGAGTATTAGTTTCTTTTATTGATAATATAATAGCTTTCTAGTCAACCTGTGTGTATCTCAATAATCTATCGACTATTTGGTGCACCTCGACTACTTCACCGAGGACTTGCTACCTTACCATGATACGTCTAGCCCACCAAAACTTAGGTAAATGAGAAGAAATCACCTAGTATTTTTTTGTCACCTAATTTATTAATCACTAGACCATATTTTCGAATGCGTCATTGGAGTTACAGATATTAGAGTTATGGTGTATTTGCTACAAAGGTCTGGAAAATATATTTTCAATTTCCCCTATGTTTTACTGGCCAAAATTTCTGAAAAAATAGTCTAGATAAAAAAACAAGTTTCTTCAAAATAAAAAAAGGAAATAATTTTTCCGATTAAAATAGTAAAAACAGTTCCATAAATAACATTCAAACACAAATTGTCTCCTTCTCACCCTATCCCTTTGCCTAGACTATACATTCATATTTCGATACAATATTTTTTATTTACTTATCGAAACACCAACAAATAAGTAAGAAAACCACCACTCACTTTCCGATAAAAAAAATACCAAAAACATCCTTCATACAAGTTTAGCATTCACAGTTAGACTAGTAGTATATTCCAAACGCGTAAAAAGTAGTTGAAATCATATGATATATATACATTACTATATCAATGGTTACTAATAAAAGATAAAGGAGAGAGAAAGAGAAAAAAAATACACAGATTTTTTTTTCTTTTTCACAGTTTTTTTTTGGACACAAAATTGAGACCATTAAATGAACAGAAACATTTATAACCACCCATCCTTTAAAGTTAAAGAGAAAGGTATTCCTACAAAACAGCAATTTTCCCTTCCAACACAAAAATTTCACTAGAATTGTTCAATTCATTTGTTGGTCTTTGTGCCAACTGCCAACCAACAAAAGAGCAAAGAAAAAAAAAATATAGGGAAAAATAAAACACCAAATGTCTGCTGCTTGTGGAAGTTTACAACATATATTTGAGAAGCCATTACCTGAAAATCCATCACTGATTGAATCCATTTCATCTTCATGGAATCAGTCTAAATCATTGAAACATATAGATGACTCTTCATTTACTGAGATTTTCGGAGAATTACATTTCAAAGAAAACAACTGTGTTACCGTGTCTACGTCCTCCTCCTTTTCGTCCTCGTCTGTTGGTTCATCTTCATCTTCTTTTTCTTCTTGTTTACCTTTGTCATCTGCATCATCGTCGTTTTCTTCTACTTCTTCGTCGTTTTTCCTTGATGCTGCAATTCATCAATCTGAAATTGAAGGGCTTGACAATAATAAGGACAAGTATGAAAGAAATAGCAAGAGTCCTGTTTCAAGTTACTCTAAAATTACAAGCAATAAGAGTAAACAGGACAGGCATAATGATAGCTTGTCATCAAGAACATCAGATAGCTTATCGATGTGTACAGAAGGACTTGGATTCGAGAGCTCTGATGATGTTGAGGACCTAATGAATGATTTGAGAAACGAAGATCTTCCTCATAATCATCAACAAGAACAAGAACAAGAACAAAAACAACAAGGTAGGAGGACGCGGATATCTTGCAGGCTAGAGAATCGAGTGTTCTTCAATCAAGATTATAATTCTAAGAGATCAAGAACGAAAAAGAGGTCGTCATTTCCACCTCCCATTTCTTGCATAGGAAGAAGTGGGAAGCCATGGGTTTGCTTTAAATCATTCAGGGAAGATGGAAGGTTTATACTTAAAGAAATTCGAATTCCCACTCAGGAATTCCTACATGCATGCAGAGAAGATGGACGTTTGATGATGCACGTTATTCAATCTGATGATGAGATTGTAGACGAAGACGAGGACGATGAAGATGAAGATGAAGACGACGATGATGATGGTGATAATAATGATGAAAATAATGTTGAAGAAGGACATGATAATAAGCATGTATAGGAGTTAAACATCATCAAAAACAAACTGTTTTTGTTTCATAGTATTTTTTCTTTTTCCTTTTTGTTTTGGTTTTCTTGTGTCTTTCTATATTCCGATGTTGCAGGAAGCTACAAGATGATGTTTCAAAGCTCTGCTTTTTTTTTCCTCTCTTTTATCTGCAAAATCTGCAAATAAAGAAAAACTGCAAGCGGAATTCTTAATTCCAAAATTTGATTGAATTTTACTTCAGATTTTTGTGTGTCCATCTCCTACTTAGTATTCTGTATCCATACTGTGGTCCGACTAAATCTCGGTCTAACTAAATGAAAATGCTCGACATTGTGGGGGTAAAGTGCTCCCGCACCTAACTAAATTGCTGATTACGTATAAACATAGTATTTTGGTCCACTAGACCTAGAAAAATCCAATCCCTTAAACCTAAAAAACTAACTTATATACTAATGTAACTTAACTTGTTATAGCAGGTAATTTTACTATATTTTTGAGTTTATCAATGATAAGGTGCTTAGTGATGCAGGAGGAGAACCATGAATTTCCAAGCTCAAATCAAATGGAAACAAAACAAATACAAGTGATTTCTTCCCATCTAACTAAGGTGCCTGCAAATTGACCTAGACTCCATCGTCTTTAAATTAAAAAAAAAGGGTTAGAATTGAACTGATAGTATAAACCTTTTTTTACACTTACCATTGTATACAACTTAAATTCACTGTTAAGAATTACATGAAGCTACTTCTCAAGTAGCGTGATTTTATAAATATTTTTTACCCTACCCATGTATAGAACTTGAACTGTCAAAAAAACTGTGAATGGGGAAGAGATATAGGTAAGGTCTGCGTATGCTCTACCTTCCGCAGACCTATATTGTCAAATTACATAGGGTATGTTGTTGTTGGAAAGGGTGTGGGTAGGATTGGGTGGGGGTGGGAGGGTCTGGTGACATAGGTCAAGGGAGGTAGCTCAAAGACACATTAATCCTATGTTTAGATGATGATATATTGCAAAAGATCTATTCTTCCAACTTATTTCCAGCCGAAAGTATATGAAAATGACCTAAAGTAGAAGACACCTATATTCTAATTTCAAATAGACATATGTAACAGCATGGACCACAAGTTAGACATCCTGAAATCAACTTGTGTCCTTGGGGCAAATAGAAGAGACACTATATTTTTTTAAAAAAAAGAGCTCCATGTGAGTTCACCAAACAAAAATATCAGTTTATCTCATTATCACAATGTAAAAATACAGAAGCATCATCACATTTCCAGTTTCAAACACATTCACATGAATATAACGAACAAATGAACTTTCCCTCTGGATAAGATTCTGTACAATAATGATATACCTTTTTCAAGCAAAGAACTGGTATATGGTATTTTGGATGAAGAAAGATAATTGTCTAGGGCTTGAATCATTTCACTTTTTATTATTTAGGAGAATCCTCGCCTCTTGAGTTAAGCTTTTGGGTTGAATTAGGCTCGAGGTCCATTTTCTTATAGTCAAAGCTAAGCTCATTCATGATTTATCAAATGTTGAGCTCCCGTATTATATTGGCCAGACTATCCGGTCCTATGAGGCGGGCAAGCAGGCAGGGGAGTCCTTGAGTGTGTAGGGAAAGGGAGCTCTTATATTATCAATGCTAGAGATGTCCACGGAAGAGGGGGAAGAGAGATTGTCCATTATTGGGCATGTAAAGATCATTTGTTTCTTTGTATGGTTTTTTGACAGTCTTCACCTCTCGAACTAGCTTGAGTTAGGCCAGGGTCCATAATTTTTTTAAATATAATAAAAACAAAACAAAACCAGATGGAATAGAATCATCACTAAAAGGGCAACCCACAAAGAGGAACTGTTACACCTTACAATGGCTCCTAGAAACATTTGTTTGGCAGAGAAACAGGTCTTTTACAGACAAAAGGGTTAGTAAGAGGCTCTAAAATTATAGATGCTTTCATTGAGATGCTCTCATTCACTTGATGGAGAATCTTATGATCTAAACAATATGCTATGACAAAGGCACAACAAATTATCTAAAGTTCTCTGAAAAGTAAAAACAATCTCCTACACAGAAATAATCTTTCATCAAATTATATGCTTTGTTACTATGCAGATTATTTGTGGCCAGAGGTGTTTCCGAGTGGCTATAGCAATTGGATCATTTATTCCCCAAAAAATAGTTCCAAACTTTTTTTTCTGATAAGATAAATGAATTTATTGACTTAAGGGGGAATTCTAACTTAGTAGAATGGAAAAAAACAACTGAATAAAAGGCAAAGAAAACTAGCATCATTATCTTAGTATAACAACACAACCATTGTAATCCCACAAGTCCCAAGTGGGGTTTGGGGAGGGTAAGGATGTATGCAGACCTTATCCCTACCGTTGTGGGGTAACATCACGATATCAGCAGAAGCATAAAATATGTGGTAAAGCACATCAAAACGTACCTTCTGGCGACAAATGGATCTGGAACAGGATTGAGAGACCCGAAAATGCAACTATCCTTTCTAAATATCAAGAAAGTGATAGGATGATAGATATTTGTGGACCACCAGATACAGCTCCAGCGTTTTTCAGAGATATATTGAGAAACTGACATCCCAAGCTTTATATCTGGAAAAGGTTCTTTAAGGTGGGATCAATATGCTTACTGCTAGTTGAATGTGACAAAAAACCATCAAACTTGCACATTGATGCACTGATGAAACGTTGCAGGATTCAAACTCAACAAATTTTGCCTTACATAAAAAGTAGAATGCAGCAGATTACAGAAATTAACGAGTTACATTACAACAAAACTCAAATACAAATTTCTCATTTGAGTCCTCATATTTTTATTCTTATAATTTTTAAAAAAAAAGGCAGGAGAATCTGCAGTACTTAGATCATCTTGAATCACTTGACTGGGTTGCTGCCATCTAGCGTCAAAAGAACCTTATATAAATCAGGACGTCGATCACGATACACCCCCCAACCATGCCTTTTGGACTTGATTTTGTCCAGATCAAACTGAGCTACAAGAACAGCTTCCTCTTTATCACCGGCAGCTGCAACCAACTCCCCAGTGGGGCCTGTTCATTTTTAAACCAGGTTCACAGCCAACTTAAAACACAAGGCAGAAGATGTTTTTCATTTATAAGCTATAGCCTATAGCTTTCTATCAAGCTTACCTGCTATGAAAGAGTAGCCGTAGAATGTTATCTCACTATTCCCATGCTCTGTCTCAATTATCTCCTTTCCAATGCGGTTTGACGCCACTAAAGGTACCTGGACACGATAAATTTAAGGTTATTTAAATTCTGACTGAACAAAAGTGAATCAAACCAAAACAGCAATTTAAAAGTCACATTCTTGTTTTGGTCTTGTAAAATGAAAACACCAATATTTGAGTTTGGCAAAACCTGGAACGTCTAAATTGTTATAGCCCTAATAAAAATGAATCATTTTCTTAGCAGACACCTATCTTGAGAATGGTGCACAGAAAATGCTACAGTGCTGTTAAGAATTGGCTAATAACAAAGTGGTACATGTCCATATGCATGTGTAAGATTAAACAAAATATAATCCAAATGGGATACAGAAATGACAGCCATTGACCTATACTTCTGGAGAAGAAACCCATTACTCTATCCCTTTCATGTCAGCATATACTTTCTTTTTGACTTACCATTCTTAACAAAAAAAGTCAAAATGAAAGAGAAGAAGAAAAAGAAACTTACCACATTAGCACCAGCGTGTCCTTGCATCACCCTCCTCCAGTGATCCCGAGAATCAAGTCCATCATCTTGAGGTTCAGAACCAATTGCAGTAGGGTAGAACAATACTTCTGCACCTTGAAGTGCCATAGCTCGAGCAGCCTCAGGAAACCACTGATCCCAGCAAATTGCTGGACAGAATTTAATAACAGTCAATACTATGACAGGTATATTTTCCGTCTTCACTGTATTTTACAACAAGAGAATCTTTGTCCGCTTTACTAAAATTTAAAATTACAACGTGAAGCCTGTCTAAGTAATTTTTGGAGATATAAGGTCTTTTGCCACAGCAGCACAACTTTTATCATACTCCTATGCATCGAAATGCTCATCAAAGGTAGAGAACATAATGAAACCCAAAGAACAATTATAAAAATATATATTTCTTACCAACTCCAATTTTTGCATATTTTGTCTGGAATACCTGTTTATGATCACCATAACATCCATGAGAAAAGGGGAAAGCAGGAAAAGATAGCTGTCACAATATGTTAATAGGATTTCAGTCTCCTGTATTTGTTACCTTAAAACCAGTGTCACCGGGATTGAAGTAATACTTTTCCTGATAACCTGCAGAGAGAAACAATTCGTGAGGATGAAAAAGGAGTATTGAAGGAAGTGCTTGAGGGAAATCTAACAGAATAATGACAAGTAGCACAATGAATTTGGAATGTCCTTCCAAGTTTACTAACCGGGTCCATCAGGAATATGGGACTTCCTGTAAAGTCCAAGATCTGTGCCATCAGCATCAATTATAGCCACAGAATTGTAATGCGCATTATTTGCCTCTTCAAAGAAACTAACTGGAATAACTACTCCAAGCTCCTTTGCAAGATTCTGCATCCTACAAACATGCACATAGAAGAAGAAAAAGTCAAGTTGTTATTGGAATCTTGACATTTATGCAAAAGAACCCTGCAATAAAACTCCGGAAGCAATCCGAATTCCACCTAACAATGGTTGGATGGCCCGGATATGGTTTTGCTCGATGAAAGAACTCCTCCTTTTGTGCTTGACAAAAGTAATAGCCCTCGAACAACTCCTGAGATGTAAACCAGAAAGTATCAATGGAACTGTACTGCAGACATGGCAGATGAATACCAAATAGCTTCAAAAAGTACAAGTTCACAGAACAACGAACTTCAAGTGCATCACCCTGACTCCATAAAAATATCATTTGCAACTCGCTAATTAGAGAAATGATAGGACATTTCAAGTTGATCTGAGAACTCCTGACAGTAAACAATCACATACAACTTTTTCCCTCTTTCTATAGGTATTTGTTACCAATGCCTACATAAAATTGTCAACACCTTGGCTATAAATCCTGTTCTTTTTGTTAGCCTCACTCCCAGTGATACTTATAGCAAAGGAAAATAATATTATATAACGGAAGAGTTAGACGTGCCCTATAAGATTCAAGGAAATCAGTACACTCTGCTGCATTTATAAAAACCAACACCGCAAACATTTATTTCATTTCC